ACACACGCACGCACGCACGCACGCACGCTCTGGCAGCTCCCGCCTTCTGTCAAAGGTCCCATTTCCTCCTCCTGCCGCATCCCACCAGGCCATTCCCTACACCAGGGCAGCTCACGGCTGTACAACTCCCGATGTCTGTGTCGCCCCGACTGCCCCATCTCCCGAACCCAAGACTCACAGTTCTTCGAGTCCAGTCACAGTGGTTACTCCAAGCATGAACCTTGGAGCCACTTCCATTATATACACTTCTAATTTTGTAACATTGTGAAGTTCCTAAACGCTACTAACCTTAGAGAAAACATATCAGCAAAAATAATCAAAAACCACCCACAATCCCACCTGGAGAGGAAACTGCTTCACTTGGCAGCGCCCTTCTGGGTTTAATGGAAAACATGTTTCATGTTTTGTTTTGTTTTTTCCTCGAACATGGGTGGCCATGCAGTTTATAACCTACATTACTTGTGTAAAATTTTAAGACCTTTCTGTTTAAGCCACTTAAAAATGAGTGAACTACATCATGTGTACAGATGAGTGTACTACCAAAGGCCAGATCAAAAACAAAAGCAGGCTGGGCATGTAGTTCAGTGGTTAGAGCTGGCCCAGCATGGAGGTCCTGGGTTCAGTCCCCAGCACTGCAGGAAAAAGTCATCATTGGGCCCCCTGCCCCCTACCTCACATGGCCCTGTCACTACCCACAGAGTAACTACCTCAACTTAACTAGCAGTGGAGCCCCGGGCCTGCCTCTTTCTGGCGTCCTAGGACACTGCCTGAATGTCCTGTCACTCTTGCTAAAAGATCTAAACTGAACTTGGTGTGCGCACCAGTACCCACCTACTCACGAAGCTGCGGTACGGGCAGTAAAGATTTTACCTGAACAGGGCTTAATGTTAACTGGATCAGCAGACAAGACTATTAAATTGTAGAAGGCTGGAAGTCATGAGAGACTTTTCAGGGCATGAAGATTGAGTAAGAGGTTTGGCAATTTTGAGTGAAACAGAATTTCTTTCCTGTGCAAATGATGCTAGTATTAGAGTGGCAGATCACTGGAGAGTATCTTGAGGTGTACTATGCACATATAAATTATGTTTATAGCACATCTATTTCTCCAAATTGCAGATCTTGTGACAACAGAAGACAGATCTCGGAGGATATGGAAACACAGGGAATGTGCTCAAAACAATCGGACTTCCAGCTCAATCCATATGGTGTTGCTCTGTGCTGGACAATGGTAATATTGTGGTTGGTGCAGGTGATGGTATTATTAGAGTATTTACAGAATCCATGGATCGCACAGCAAGTGCTGGGGAAATCAAGGCTTTTGAAAAAGAGCTCCCTCGGGCAACCATTGATTCCAAGACTGGTGACTGGGGACATTAATGCTGAACAGCTTCCTGGGAGGGAACATCTGAATGAACCTGGTACTAGAGGACAGACTCGTCTCAGCAGAAACGGGGAAACGTTGAAGCCTATCAGTGGAGTGTTAGTAAAGGGATGGATGAAAATGGGTGATGTTGTTGGCTCACCTGGTGCTAATCAGCAAACACCTGGACAAGTTTTGTATGAAGAGAAAGAATCTGTTTTCTCAATTCCTGTCAGTGAAGGTGGACCAACATATTAATTGTGCTATAATATTAGTGATGATCCCTGGTAACTGCATGTAACTTCTTGCAGAAGAATGATTTGAATCCCATGTTTTTTGATCAAGTGTTAAATTTATTATTGATAATACAAGATCAAATGTTGAGTCTTGGGAACACCAGCTTTTCAGATCCATTTACAGGTGCTGGTCGGTATGTGCCAGGTTCTGCCAAATACAGGCATAACTGTGACGGCAGTTGATCCATTCACAGGGAATAGTGCCTGTAGGGAACAGGGAAAGGGGACATTACTAGAACCTGTGCAGTAAGTCCTAGTCTCCTGTGAGCTCCAGCAGCACAAGGTGAATTAACTTATACAGGAAAGGAAGACAAAATTGAGACTTAAGAGAAGCTGAGCTTTGGCCCTGATCAGTGCTCCTCTGGGCAGCAAAGATGAAGGCCCCAAGCTTGCCAAAACTTTATTCAGTACATTGGGAGAAGCAGATGTAACAGAAGACGGGAGGGCAGCAGAAATGAAACAATGAGGAACTACGCAGATGAATATTTTGTTCCTCCCAGGATGTCTTCAGCTGGTGAAATTCTGTCCTGGAGCATCACAGCATCACTGGACCACTGAGGTCCAGCTGTGACCAGAGGCCAAAATGGAGCCATGTCTCGAAATGCCATAGCTGGCCTATAGGCAGAACTAGGCCTAATCAAATGATTTTCCCCAAAAATTATGTAAGATTGCTCCCAACAAGTGCCTATCAGTCAGCTGGACCTCAAAGTGAGCATTTATTTCCCTAAAAAGGAGGCTGTCACTTTTGAACAAGAAAACCCTACATAAATATTAGGTCAACTGAAGGAACTTAATGACACCCAAAGAGAAGTTAAATGAGGATAACTTGGTGCTTCTTCAAAAGATGCTTTCTCCAATATGTAAGTTCTTCCGAAAATCCCACAGCCACCAACTACAGATTTTGTGGAAAGCTATTAACTGGCCTGAAGACATTATTTCCTGAACTTGACATTCTTCAATTGTCAATTAAGCACCCCAGAGTGAGAACTTCTGCAATGAAAAGGGGCTCACTTCAGCAGTCATCTTATCAATCTTCTGAACCCAGCAAACCAGCTGCTTCCTCTCAAGACTTTTTGCAATTGCTTTGTTGGCTGGGCGGAGCAAAAGCTCATGATATCCCGGGGGGAATCAGTAAGTTCCCATGCGCTAAAACTGAGAGAACAGTTAAGTACATTAATATTGCTCTGGCTACACTGACCTTGAACTATTCTGTTTTCATAAAGACCACAACATTGAAGGAAAAGCTCAATGCTGGTCAGTAATTAGCACAATCTTGGAAGTTGTACAAGACCTGCAAGCCACTTTCAGACTTCCTGTGGCTCTTGGGACACTGATCAGTGACGATTCATTCAAATGCTGCAGTTAGCGAAATCTTTAGGTGTCAATTCACAAATAAAGTATGCCCCAGTATCAGAACTACCTAAAGTGAATGCTGTAGATGTACCCTGGATTTGCTGTAGGAAAGGGGAGAGACAGATTAGTTTAGTGAGGTTTTGTCTTACATTTTACATGACTGGTTACCGGTAGGAAGAAAAAAAAATACTGTGGATTAAGTACAATTTCAGACCTTGTAAAGTGGAGAGGGAGAAAAAGGAGAAATAAAAATGTTTGCAGTGATTAAAAAAGGGGGGGGGGGTGGCTGGAGATGGCTCAGTGTGAGGGCCTGTACTTATTTATCCCAGTGCTGGGGGACAAGATCTAAGGCCTATAGTCCTACAGACTATTCCTACCGCCTCCCTTCCAAGACCACTTTCACACTTGAAAAGCCTTCCGAAAGCCACCAGGTCTAAGGCCCCTGCTTTACCCTCACCAACCCCACACCAGCTCTAAAATGCTCTTCACACCCAGCAAGCTCAAGGGACCCATTGGAAAACTGCACACCAGCCTTGCTTTGCAGCAACATCCTCTCCAAGAGGGCCATGCTGGCCCCTGGGACCCTCCTGGTAAACAGGGCTCCTCTTCCCAAGTGACCCCAGGATGCCTTAAGATCCCCGGCTCTGGCGGACCACGAGCTGGCTGGGCCATGCTCCCCTCCATCAGGGCCTGGCCTTCATGGTAAGACAGGGCTCAAGTGGCGAGCCTTACTGACCAGTTTCCCGGTCTTCACAGGTTAAGTGGCTCCTAATGTAGCCGTAGGACCAGGCAGGACTCCAGGGAGCGGGGCAGCTGGTCTGACAGCTTCAAGCCCTCTCCACGCCCACCACCACCACACTTGAACTGCACGTCTGGAGCAGCAACTGGCACCCGAGAACTCGGACTGTGTCCTGTTCTCTGGACAGGTGTCATTCCTGGCACTCACCTTAACACACCACCACCAGCCTTCTGCTGAGGCTCAAAACCCTCAAAGGCCCCACAATGCTTCGTGCATCAGGCGGAACTGGCCGAGGCTGGAAGAGCAGAAGGTGGTGGCACTTACCTGTACGCCCAGTGGACTGAATCAGGAGGACTAGGAGTTTGAGCCCAGCCTGGGCAACCTGGCAAGACCCAGTCTCATAGCTGAATTTTTTAAAAAAACGCTGTGTAAGTAGCTCTAAGTGGAGGCCCTGGTTCAATCCTCGATACTTGGGGGGTGGGGGAGGAGACTGGGAAAATGAACCAGAGAAAGAGCACCTTGTCATCACCAGCGAGCAGTGTTACCCGACGGGTCCTTGGCAGATGGTAGCTGCACCTGGATAAAGGGCTCTGCTCGAGAAGTTACCTGCTAACTCACAAGCACACACACACACCGAGGCCTGTGCTACGAAATTAAGAAAACCGCTCCTTTGAGTGTAAGACAGGTTTCTTTTATTAGTTTTTCCTAGACTTGTCTCACGTTTACTGAACGTTTCCCTCCGTGTAAGAATGTGCCTGGAGTTTAACAAACCAATCTGGACATGCAGCCTGGATAAATGCCGGCCCGCAGTCAGCAGTCCCCTCCCCGGCCTGCCTCCATGCACCAACAGGTCTGACAACCCAGCTGAACAGGGCCAGCGGACCACGGCATCTTACTTCTAGTTTTAACTTTAAACTTCGAACTCATCCCCATCCCAGCACCCAGACCCTTCCCCACACACATATTTATAAGAAATGGCCATTAAAGACGGAGTCAGTTGCTCAAGAGTTGGCTTATTCCTGCAGCCACCACTTCAAACAGCTCTTGGCTTCCCGGCAGGCCAGCTGAGACTCCTGAAGCACAACAGGGAGAGAACAGAGAAAGGACACACTAGGACAGGGTCCGGATCGTGGCGCCTGGGGCTACACAGCAAAGTGCGCCTCCCCTCACTCCTCTCCGTGGCACTCTCCCTCCAGCACTGCAGAGCTGTGACAGAAATCCTTCTGCGCAGAGATGGACAGAGACTCGTAACTATGCAAGGTATAATCTTATTTGAAACAACATACGCCAAAACTAACAGAGACACTCTGTCATACAGACTATCAGTTATTACAAAGATCCAAAACATAACCAACAAAGCTTGCCACAGTTTCTAAGGCAGGTACCAGATCTGGCCTCTAATGCAGGCTTCCTTTGAAGTTTCCAAAATGCCTCACTCCTGTCTATCGACACTGCCCAAAGGGCAGCCAGGGGAATGCTTGATGCACCCCACCCTGGCTGCACAGTTAAGAACATGCTCCTGCCCTAACACCGGGTACACATTTCTTTAAGACTAATTTCAGATTCATCTGGTACAATCCAGTGTATCTTAGCTTTTGTGGGATCTGTCAGCTGTTTAACATGTACAAACCGGCAGATTTGTGACAGATACTAACACTTAGTACAAGCTGTGAGCGAGCTAAAAAGAACTTTTCTCTTACCCTAGGAGTGGGAGCTAAACCTCGTTTACACAGAACGTCTCCCACCTGACAGACAGGCCAGGACACAAATCTTTACACCATAGTGAACAAGGGTCAACTCCTATTAAATTCACCATGCCGGTATTGGAAAGCGTATCCGCCCAATCCTAAACTTCTGAAGAGAAAGTCATTCAGATTTGGATGTTCGGGTATTAGTGAATATACTTTCCGTCAGGAAGCACTTCCAAGTCTAAAATTCTGTTTAATCTCGCTCCCGGCAGGTGGGGGTGTCTACACGCCCAGGCGTTTTTAACAGGAGCCCTTGGGGGGACGGGGACAGGGTTGGGCTGGAAGTACAGGTGAACTGTGAAGACACACAGTGTGTCTGCTGCTCTATGTTCTCCACATCAGGCCGTACTCCACCCTCGGAAATAGGGGGCGCCCCCACTCTCCCCCCCCACCCAAGGCGGGAAGCCTTTGCAGCAATCTCTATGACAGAGTTCTAAGCATGATCAGAGCTCCTGCCACATGTCCTGATGTAAAGCCTGCTCGGAAACAACTTACAGCTTTCCTATAGTTCAACTTTCCAAAACAAACGCAGTTGTAGAAGCATGATTAAACATAAAAGGAGTGAAGCATAAGCTCAGTAAGACTAACTGGGCTTCTAAATAGTACCATTATGAAAAAAAGATACAATGCACTTCATTTCTGTATCTAACTATTTAGAAGTCAAAATGCTCCATACAGTACCTATATCCCCACCCCCCAAAATTCCCTAAAAACTGACTAAGAAATCTCCAGTATTCGCTTGCTCTAGTTGATATTTAGAACAAAGTTGACAACTTAAAGCTTTATAATAGTCTATTTTAATATAAACAAGTGTTGGAATCAATCAATGTCCATTTCTGGAAGCTTCTTGTCCGAATCCGAAGGCACAGCCGTGTCTGCACCCTGCTCAGCAGCCTGCGGGCCAGGGCTATCTCCTTGTCCATCCACTGGTCCATTCTGCTCGGCAGTTTTTTGCTCCTCTTTCGGAGGTTCCACTTTGGGCTTCGGCTTTGAAATTACAGGGTTACAAATACTGGCCAGCTCCTAGAATGGTGAGAGGAAACTATTGGTTTCTCATGAGTTAACAAATTCTGGACACACATGCGGAGCCCATGCCCACCCTTTGCCACTCAGGCCCCCACACCAGAAGCTAAGAGGCAATGTGAACTTCCCTCCTAGAAACCTCATCAGGCCACTGTGAGTAACAAAGCTGACAGAAAAGACTGCCGAATACTTCAAGACATAAACTACCTTCATTTTAGCTTCAATCTCTTTTGTCTTGACAACGGGATCTAGGGTCAGGCTCTGCTTGCTCTGCAGGTTCAGCTTATTATTCATCCACTCCATTGCTTCATTTGTGCTTTTCTCCACCTTTGCCACATCAGCTGCATCTAAATGATCGTACTGGTCCTCCTACAAGCAGCAGGAAATCAGGCAAGTGTCAAGGGATGATACTCTCCCTCCCTGATACTGTCTGGTGCTCTACCAACTCCCAAATACCATCTTCCAAAAAGTTACAATCTTTCAAACAGTGAGGCACATTCAGCCTAACCATGTGGGGAGATGCTCAATATTCAGTCTATGTAAGCTGTTCAACATTAAAGAACAGAAACAGAATTCGAATTATGAGAACACTTGGGAAGCCAGGCACAGTCCACACCTCTGTAATCCCAGCACTCAGGAGGCTGAGGCAAGAGGATTACTGCAAGTTCAAGGCCAGCCTGGACTACATAGTGAGGTCAAGGCTGGTCTGAACTATACGGTAAGACCCTGTCTAAACGAACAAACAAACAAAACAGGCAACAGATTCAAAGGCCAAGAAAACATGTAAGTAGCAATTAAAGGCTTCAACAGCATAAACAACTGCACATGTTTTACTAAAAAACAAACTCATTTCACAATGTAAAAACTTTCCTTAGATGTGGAGTAAGGTGTAGGCATGCTAGTCTGGCCCCAAAACAATAATGAATGTAATTTCTAGAGGAAAATTTCCACAAGCAAAATTTTTAAAAAATTTAAAGCACACTCAATTTATAACTATTAAAATTTCTTAGACTGCCAATATATATAACCTGGAGGAGGGGTAGGGTGTGTGGTAGAGCACCCACCTGCCTGGCGTGCACAAGCTCCGGAATTTAATACCCAACACCAGCAAAAATAGTAATAATAACCTGGAATCTAATGAAACTCAAGCTCTGGAGTCAGGGTTTTCAGGCTGAATCCCAGCTCTCCCAACTTAATAACCTTAGGTCTGATTTAAAGAAAGTGAGGTTTAAAGGAGTTACAAGTTACTTATAATCTGTTGCCTACTTCACAAGGTTTTTCCATTACTGAGTGTATATCCCATAGTACTAAAAACCGCTAAGCAGTTTACTGATGGGAGAGTATTACATTAAATCCACAAAACCAACCTAATCACAAGCTAATGTGTTCTCCCAAAGCCCAACACACAGCATGTTAGGTCTAACTTGAAGGAAGCATTTCACAGCAAAGGAATTCAACAATATTCCTCCAGTCCAGATTCTATGTATGAAAGATAGTCAGCAAACCCTGTTTCTTAGCAAGATTCTTCAAAACCTTACACACATTAGTTACCATTCAAAATGAAAGCATTAAACAGCAACTAAAGAGAACCAAGAGATGCTACGCATAAATGTCTCAAAATTTCACTCTATCATAACAAGAGCAGGGAAAAGGAAAAAAAATAGGTACCTTATTTTTGAAAGAGCTGATTACTTTCATATACTGTTGGATTTGTTTCCCTAGTTCTTCAAATAATTTTGGTCTTTCTTCAGATTCCTGGAACCGTATCTTTATAGGCTGACCTAAACTCTTCACAGGAAAGAGAATACACAAATTCTTCACCAAGCACCTTAACTGTTTCACTGTTTCTACTACAACTAAGAATGTTTATGGGTTAAAATACCTTTTTTAGTCTTCCTGTGGTATATATATGTTCCCTAGACCATTAGAAATGTAAGGTTGATGGGGCCGGGGATTTAGCTCAGCGGTTTCGCTGCCTGCTGTGCAAGCACAAGAACCCGAGTTCAATCCCCGGTACCAAAAAAAAAAAAAAGAAATGTAAGGTTGGGGGCCAGGGATTTAGCTCAGTGGTTCCACTGCCTGCCCCACAAGCGCAAGGACCCGAGCCCGATCCCCAGTACAAAAGAAAAAGAAATATAAAGCTGGGCGCGAGTACACCTCAATATGATTGCTGTGGTGTGGCTTCAGCTATCTGAGCTCTCTTTTTTTTTTTTGAGCTCATTCTTAAAACACAGTGGAGACAACTAAAATTTACTTGCCTAAATACAGAAACACAAAACTAAATATAAAGTATACTCACTAAAAATTGACAATTTTTAAATTAAAGATAAATAACATCTGAATCTGACAAGGCCTCTAGATCTAAACACTACTTTACCTATAATGTTTACTATGGAGATGAAAATCAGCAAAATGCAGACTGGGAGAAAACCCTGCAGGGCAAACAATCCAATTTCTTCATAAAGTGAGGAAGGAAAAGAAGTAATGGAAAGAGCCACAGACTTAAAGAGACATGGCAGTAAAATGTATAGACCATATCTGAATTCTGATTCAAAGTAACTAAAAAATGGTAATAATCATTTGTGAAGCAATGGAACTTGAAAACCGAATACTACTGTGGTTTTTTGTTGTTTTAAAGTGTGATGATATTAAGGATGATTTTTAGATGTGATAAAGGTACTGAAATATTTTCGGATTAAACGTAACATGAAGGACTTGCTTCACACCGGGAATGGAAAGAACGGAGACAAAAATAAACTGGCCCCAGAAGGTGAAGCTCTTGGTCTCTGCTGTCATGTTTGACATCTCTCAGGAGACAAAACACAACATCCAACAGGAAGCACTGCATGTGGACTGTGACCATTCCTGACCAAACACTGACTGTCCTTCACAAGTTCCTAAATGAGAGTGGTCATCATGGCCCCATTCCATGAGAAATCAAACAACCCAGGGCTAAAACTAAAGGGAGATGCTCCTTCAGGTGCATGGGCTTCTTTGTGCAAATACAAGGCCTCATTTTGGATAATTCTTTGTAGCTTCACCCTAAGGGTTAACAAACCGATCCCTTATATACAAAGCTATATACATGGCCTGCCCCGATGGTACCACAGGGCCCCTGGGACGGTGACTGTGTCTTGCTACTCTTTTCGCCTCTGGACACCAAGAACGCACTGTATTTCCAATTCAATGAAACACTGCTGTTTTTATGAGGCTCTAAAAGTGAGAATGATAATGAGCTTCACAGGCTCACTATAGGGCCCGTACATGCACAACTGTGCATGCTGCCTGATGGGACAGTCAGTCACACATGTACCATCAGTGGTTCAACCCAGTGGTAATGTGTTAAGTCATAAAGGGTGCAGTTCTCCAAAACAGTATTTTCAGTTTGTGTTCTTTAACATGACATTAAAATTCCTCCCCACACTGAGCTGCTATCCTCATATGGCACAGAGTTTTGGGATAACTCTGCTCTTAAGAGCCACTTACTTTTTTTTGTTGTTTTTGTTTTTGTTTTTGTTTTTTTGGTACCAGGGATCAAACTCGGGTCCTTGTGCTTGCAAGGCAAGCAACGGAACCTCTGAGCTAAATCCCTGGCCCAAGAGCCACTTACTTTTAATTCAGCCAATTTATCCACATAAACTTGCTTTGGCTGATCTTCTCCATCTTCATACAACCAGTTTTCAGTATCTTCTAGTTTCAAGGTAAAACTGTTACGATCCTAAAGATAAAGACAATGTTGTAAATTGCAAATTAAACCACCAATGCAATCACAGGCATAAATTGCACTGACATGTCTGAGATTTGCTTTAAAATACAGGACAAGAGCCAGGTGTGATGGTGCAAACCTGTAGTCTCAGCACTCGAGAGGTGAGGCAGGAGGATCGCTGTGAGTCCGAGGCCAGCCTGGGGTACACAGTGAGATCGTGTCTCAAAAGACTCTACACACACACACACACACACACACACACACACACACACACACACACACACACACACACACACAAAACCAAGACAAGTAGGGGCTGGGGATTATAGAAAGCCAAATGACACGTGTTTTTTGTTTGATAGGTACAAGGGGGTATATTACTTTATTCTTCCTGCTGTAAGTGACTTTGAGTATGCTGGGAATTTTTAGAATTACAGTGAGTTAAATAGCAAGGAAAAGCTGATCTAAAGAAACACTACATAAATAACAGCTTTCAAATATGTCAAAAAGTGATACATAAAAAAAAGTGATACATGAAAGTAATGCACACAGACTGACCTTTGGGAATCACTACAATAACAAAATACGAAATACAAGTATGTAAAACTTCCTTTTCAAAAAAGGTACATTTTTAGTAATTTTTGTACTGTCTTTCCCCAAAAATAAGACCTAACCAGAAAATAACTCCTACTGTAATTTTTTCAGGATGCTTGTAATAAGCCCTACCCTAAAAATAAGCCCCAGTTAAAATCAGCCAGACAGCCACATTACCTTTGCAAAACACATCCTGAACTACGAAATCATATTAATATATAATTAAATACAATTATAACATTAACACTTAATGATAATATAAATCATAAATGAGTATTTGTGAAAACCTAGTCAGCCACCTTCGGATGAGGGGTAAATGCCTGTGTAAACAGATGAACTCGAGTTACTGCCACGTGGCCAATGGGAGCACAGACACGGTGCACAAATACCATGCACACTTATTGACAAGTATGCCTTATTAGACGTGGTTGTGTCTAATAAGAATCTTCCCAATTCAGTGTGTCATGTGTTGTAATGAACATACTTAATGCAGCTGTGTGAAATAAAGAAGTGTTTCTGAAATTTGGTGCCTGCAATTTTTCGTCCCTTTCGTGTGAACCATCCTTTCCAACTGTCATCATTTGTGTTGCCACTCCAGTCTTAGAAGTCTTCAATTAACACTTGATTTAATGGAAATTTTGTGAGGCCAGCCAACCTGCAAGAGGTCATGACTTGGGTGAAAAATTCATGGGATAAAATCACTGACAGCTGTGTTGCCAATGCACTGTGGTGAGCAGGCTGCATGGACAAAAGTGCTCATTTAAGGAGAGCTCTGTCACTGGACCTGAAGAACTGGGGCTAGTGGTTATACAGAAAATGGAGTCGCAAGAAACTCAGTCCAGAATTCAGGGTTTGGAGAGTTAGGACCATGTTCTAGAAAAGGATGACATGACTGTATTTGAATAAATGCAGACCTGCTGTATATAAAAAAAATAAGGCATCTGCTGAAAATGAGCCCTGTTATGTCTTTTGGATCAAAAATTAACATAAGGCCTGGTCTTACTGTCGGGGAAATGCGGTATACACAGCTGCAGAATTCCCCTCAAACACGTACGAAAATGCTCCTAGAAGACACATAATACCCAGGCACACTGAGGTACACTTACATCTTCACTCACAAACTTCTCATATACACCACTGAGCTTGTCTCTCATTTCGTACACATATTCTTCCACTGCATTCTTAGCATCATTCCGCTCCTTCTCTAGTTTGTCCTGCATGATCATCTTACCCTGAGAACATATAAATTAATTAGACACTAGGAAAACTATGACAATTTCCTCTTAAATATTAACAAATATAACTTAAAAGTAGAGAACTCTTCTTCCCCAAATCCTCTTAATTCTGTGAGTCATCAAAACAAAGGAGAGCTGGACAACTAATTGTGGACACATGTTGAAGACAGAGAAGGGAGTGCTAGTCGGGGATTTAGCTCAGTGGTTTCGCTGCCTGTTGCGCAAGTGCAAGGACCCGAGTTCAATCCCCGGTAGCAAAAAAAAAAGAAGGGCGTGCTAGGCAGGCGTGGTACACACATCACACCTGCCTATACTCCCAGCTGCTTGGAGGGGAGGCAGACAGATGGCAAGCTAGGCCAGCCTGAGAAACCCAGCAACACTCTGTCTTTAAAAAACAAAACCAAAAACAGAACAAAGAGCTAGGGGCTAGCTGGTGGCTTGGTCTCAGAGCACCTGCCTAACATGTGCACTGGGTTTCATCCCTAGCACTGTGCAGCCGATAAGGGGGGGGGGGGGCTTTTCAGATAAGGTTACACAAAATGAACAATGGGAATATGAAGACAAAGATTTTTAAAATATGAGAAAGGGCAGGGGATTTAGCCCAGTGGCACTGAGCCTGCCTCACAAGCGCAAGGTTCTGAGTTTGATCCCCAGTACTAAAAAATAAAATATGGTTAAGAATTTAAGATAAGAAAACTACTGGTTTAATATCACAAGGTGGGCCGGTGATTTAGCTCAGGGGTTCCAGCGCCTGCCTCGAAAGTACAAGGTACCGAGTTCAATCCCCAGTACCAAAAAAAAGCAAAACAAAACAAAAAAATACCATGAAAAAAACAAATTTATTCAAGCAAACAAATGCTACAAAACAAAATTATTCTAAGATTCACTATGTGATCCTGATAAGAAATCTCAGGCAACAATTAAATTAAATAAATGTGCTTCAAAGGGCCCCAAACCTTGTATCGTTCACCATCAGAAGAAAAGCTCTATTTACAAACTGACTGACAACAGTCAATAGGCAAAACAGAACAACCAAAACAGTGCTAACATTAATGCCATGTGATTTATCCTCCTGATCAACCACCCCAAACACCCCAATCTCTACTGAACAAATACCCATCTCAAATCGAACACCTCTTCTAAACCAAAGACATTATTGTCAACAATCTCACATCAGAGCTTCCAGGAACACAGACAATGTGCTAGTCTGTGTCATGAAGAATTCTGGCATACACTGGATCTACTACTTAGATTTCCCCTTCCCCTAAAAATCTATTTTCGCCAAGTCCAAACTACCAAAAATGCATAGATATCACCAGGCACAGAATCTGAAGGCTATGGTCACATTCATCTATTTGCTCACTGTTCTCAAGGACTTTAAATAACAACCTCATTTTCAATGTACAAGTTGAGCATCTCTCGGTCTATCTGCCATAGTAGCTGATTCTCAATGGGCAGGTCCACAGTACTGGTCTTCACTTTGGCCTTCTTCGCTTGGGGTGGTTGGTCCATCTTTTTATCTTTTGATCCAGCTTGAGAAGTCTAAAATTATTAAGAAAGAAACATACAGAGTAACTTAAATTTCACAATGGGTCAAATTTCAAAAGACATTTTTGCGTTTTTTAAAACTTTAGTTTTCAGATGACTGACTAACAGGACTATCACACTAAGTAAATAATAAAAAGTAAAATGACAGACAACGAGTGTAGTCACATTCAGAGATGGACACATTAATGGTAGTTTTCAGGGCAAGGAGGTGAGGGAAAATAGAGAGTTGAATAGTTTAAGGGGGTATAGAGTTTCATTTTCCAAGATGAAAAAGTTCTAAAGATTGGTTGCACAATATATATATATACTACTGTACTACATACACTTAAAAATGGTTATGATGGAAAACTTTATCATGTGTATCCTACCCTATTAAGAAAGTTTAATTATCCTACACTATTAGGAAAGTTTAAAATTTTTAAATATACATTTATATATCTAACCGTCTGCAATCCCACAGTCAACATACAATCACTATACTTTTTCAGGCTAGCTCCATGGTAGAGTACAGTACCTGCCTGGCAAGTGCAAGGTCCTGGGTTCAATCCCAAGCACCACAAAATATGAAATTAAATTTTTCTTCCATTCCTACCTAAACAAACAGGCTACTTACCTTCTCACAAAGACTGAGAATCCATACTACTAAACAAGGTCCACATATGGGAATTCACTTAACTTTATCTCAGATATTTTCTATTTTTCTGGATCAATAACCATTCTTCACATACTTCATACCATACTTACCGCTCATTTGCTTACTTGTATTTTACCCACTGTGACCTTAAGGCTTTAGTGACCACCCCCCAAAAAACGATGAGTCTTCTAGTTTTTTCCAATTTTATACTGTCTTTTTCTTTTATTGTCAAATATATCCATCGTTTCCTTTATGATTACTTTTGTTGTTTTTATGATTTGAAAGCTTAAAACCATCCATAGGTTAGAAAAATGTTCAAACTCAAAACTGTCTTTTAAAGCCAGGCATGGTGGAAGCACACCTATAATTCCAGCACTTGGGAAGCTGAACCAGGAGGATCACCACAAGTTCGGGGCCAGCCTGAGCTACATAGTATGACCCTATCTCAAAAAAACACAAAAAAATTAAAAACTGTCAGTGTTTCTTTTCTGAATTCATCTGGAACTCAGTTTGTTCTATGATGTGAGGCAAGACTGCAATCGATGTCACTTCCCCACGTCCTAGCCATGTAACTTGCTAGCTACTGAAACATTTGTGTCTTTATTCCATGTGCCTTAGAAACAATACTATTAAAAGGCACTTCAGTTCCTGAGCCACCTTGTGGACGCTGAATGAACAGTCCCCCGGAAAACTGCAATACCAACAGGGTCCTGGGGAAGAGGGGACACACAGGGCCTGGCACCTCCTTCTCCTTACTCAGCTTCTGCTAACACACTGGAGAACAGAAACTTCTCTCTCCCTCTGCTGTCCACAACCCACCCAAAAACACCAAAGGTCTTCCGCCAGCTAAGGAATTTGCAAATATGACCTCCTGTCCTTTTTTTCCTTTTTAATACACCTGTACAACTAAAGTCAAGCAAGTAAAATTTCTCACTGACATGAAAATGGGTAGCATACTGATGCCACTTTAAGGTTCTGTCAAATTTTCGTAAATACCACAATGAGAAACTCTTCAGATCGTGAGATCATACATTCCAATTTCTTAAGTAACTTGAAAGAAACCGTATTTTCAATGTTAAACAAATTTAAGAATGCAAAATTAAGAAATCAGTGGTAAAGGATACAAAGGTTACACATTCATTTTAGGATAAATGCATTATTTACACAATGTACTTAAATACGTCATTTACCTATCTTTCAATAAGAAGACAAAAGTAAGGCAGCTAACAAAATTTGGAAAAAATAACAGGTTTCACTGTTTATCGGTAACAAATTACAGTTAGTGAGACTTAGGAATAGTAGACACTAGCCTAGCAAACCAGGGCTGCTAAGGGGCTATTATCACCTCAATCAGAACTCAAAACCATCTTGCAAACGGCACTTTTCAACATGAACAGCACTTTCCAAATCCACTACAAAATCTTGCAAAGAAACGATTCAAATAAGTAATACAGTATAACCACCTCCCAAGATACAGCCCCTCACCCAAAACCATGTGTACTAAAGAGACCGAAAGTCAAAATAACTCATACCTCCATTTCTTCAGACTCTGCCTTATTTTCTGCTGGTGTCTGCTGTTGTTGCTCTTCAACGTGTGGTTCTTCCTGGTCCACTTGCATCTTCTGAAAAATAGATCAAGTTAAATTTTGAAACTAAAAACTATTAATGAAAGACTAAGCAACCTTCATGACATACTGACAAAGTGACATGATATGGAATTCTTGCTGAATTACCAGCAATCAGAAGACAGAGGCTCCAAGTCCAGCTATATCACACGTTACCTGGAACAACAAAGTTTTCCTCTCTGGTTCTCAGCTAATAAATACATCTGTACCACTGGGGTAACACTTGCCCCACTGCCCTACTCTACTCCTACATAAATGAGAATGATTATGGAATGCTTTGTAAACCATGAAGTACTCATAATACACAATGTGGCATCACTGCAAAATGCAATGTGAAGGGCCAGGGATTTATCTCACTGGCACCACACCTTCCTCACAAGCGCAAGGTCCCGAGTCTGATCCCCAGTACCAAAAAAATTAAAAATTAAAAATAAGTAAATCTGAAGACAGCATGAGGCTTGCCAAGCTTCTTCACAAAAGCAGCATCCTTCCTACACCAGCCTCTTCATCCCCAGAGGTATGACCACCACATGTAGTAGAGGTGGACACACTGAGACTTCTCTCAACAGCGATAAAAGGACAAGTCCGTGACAGCGCTGAACCAGTGGCTCGCAGCGCCTTGCAGTGAATCACAATGACCCAGGAGGCTTTGAACACTGTTGACACTTGGGCCCAGCCCAAATAAAATCAAGAGTGTTGCTCCATAACCAGAATCAAAACTAACTCGCTCAAGCTGAGATATGTATGGTCTGAAGCGAAGAGCCAACTATGACCCACTTGCATCCATAAAGATCGTCTGCTGGTGCGCTTCTGCTGGGAGAAGGGACAACACGTGTCCAAGCTTTCAGCGGCTCTCACAATGCTCCACCCCTGTCACCTGTCACCCAGTCTACCTGCTACAACTTCAGAAAGTCACCTCCGGGCCATCGTAATGGTCTAAGGCAGTGATGGCAAACCTTTCAGAGAAGAGTGCCCAACTGCAATCCCAAACCCACGTATTCATGGCAAAGTGACAACACCGCAAGTAACCCTAAATAATGAGGTCTCACTGCTTCTAAATAACTCATGTCTTAAAAGAAAAGTAACAGGCGCCATAGGTTCACCACTGCTGGTTGACGAAATGTCCACATTACCTCTTCCTCCTTTGCATTCTGATCTGTTTCCATGGGCTCCTCGTTTTCCTCAGACTTGTGCACTTCCACTAGGGATGCACTGGACACACTGAAAATGCCATGGACATTTACTCGGACCTTGACTTTCACTTTTGAAGTGGAGCCATCGGACTGCGGAGTGACCTTCTGAACAGAGAACTGAGCTAGGGATACAGGAGACAAAAGAGAACACACCACAGCATGAACTCCAACAGGAATACGGCCCACGCTGCCGGGTCACGATCATAGGCAACGACAGGCCAGTGACTAGTGCGGCACTTCAAATGAGCCTCATCTGTGGTCGAGGGCTCTTACTGAAGCATGATTCCTCTCTCATATATGGTCAATCTCTTATTATCCTGCCCCACCTAACGGCTCAAACACCTCCTAAATTGTTGCCTTTCCTCTCTTAATATACTACTGCTAGACTGATTCCTACAACACACAGCTTTGTCATTCTCCTCTCCAAAAACAAAGATGCCACACTGCTTTTGTCATTTATCAAGAAACTGGCATTTCTAGATGTAGTTATTTTAAGAGTGCTACTTTCTTGCTTATTCCCGCAACACTGCCAAATATTAATTATCATTCCTAGTTTACAGATGAGGAAAGCAGAGTAGGTTGAATTTCTTGCCACAGTTTCTAAGTACCACTGACACTACCGATGTTTTACTTGTGTATTACAATCTTTGTTGTCTAACTCGAGTTTCTCTTCTCAACTTGTATTATTTCCAGATTATAAAAGTTACCAGTTTGTATATGTAGGCTTTCTCTACACACATAGACTCTAGCCAATACTGCTCCAAACCTAGGGTAGACTGATACTGCCTAACAATCTCCTAATGATTTTCTGTGTATCAATCTCTTAATTGTATGCTACAGTCAAAATGGAATTACTCTTTTACACGCTTTAACTCTTTGACTAGCACCACCTCATGCACAAGGTATAGCCACAATGAACATAACTGAGAAATACCACCCCAACAGTGGGAGAGTCAGTTAAATAACAATACCTGGTTGGCTATGAACCTGCTAATAAGACTAGAAGTTTTACTTTGTAATCTAAAGTACCTAAGCTTCAGAATATTGCACCTGTTCTTTCTGCTATCCCAGTTCTCCAAGTACATACAAGCTTTTGCTATTTCAATTCTCAACTCTACTCACCAATTGCAGAGTCTGGGTAAGGCAAATCCTGAGGAGAGCTATAATAGGCCTCAAGAGTGAAAGGTTCCTTTCTATAAAAGGTGAGGACTTTAGAGAAAGGAGCAGCATGATTTTTTGGAAAGACTTCACAGTCACTAAATAGAGGAAAAAGACAAAAACATACAAATTTAGGATGTTCCTAACTCTTTGACCAATTCTGGGTTTGCTATTATTGTACACTTCTAGTTTCTCTCTTATTGGTTGGGTTTATTTCCACATTATGAACTTCCAAGACTCCATATGCACAGTCAGCTAAACGGGGTGGGGTGGGGTGGGGTGGGGTGGGGTGGGGGTGCTGGGGATTTGGCTCAGTGGTTCCGCTGCCTGCCTTGCAAGTGCAAGGTCCCAAGTTCGATCCTCAGTACCAAAAAAAGAGCAGTAAACTCAATCAGCACATAGAAGACACCGATGATTTTGGCAGAATCAAGGAGAGGAATCTAAATAAGGACACTAATTTATTCTGACTACAGTAACTGATCACTTTGCTCCATGGACTATGGCAGAATATGACAACTTTGCGTAAACTGAAAAGGAGGCAATGTATTACTCAGACTTAATTCATTAACTCTAAATATCAATACGATTAACACAGGTATTACCTTGACCCTTCTTCAGCTGGAGAATTCCATCTCAGAGATATTGGATATGGCACCACATCAGTAATACAGAACTCTCTGACTTTGAAGGCAGGTGACAAGATGGCACACTAGAAGAGTAAGTTTTAAAAATTCCATTTGATAAAGTACAGACATTGCCAGGGATTTAGCTCAGTGGTTCTGCCGCCTGCCTCGCAAGCACAAGGTCCAGAGTTGGATCCCTGGTACCACACACACACACACACACAAAAGTACAGACATTATGAACTGATATCATAGACTTACAAATAATAATTTGACACCATCACTGGTGCTCACCTTTTTTGTATGTTTGTTTGGTTTTATTTTTTTCTTGGTTTAAGACAGGGTCTCGCTACACAGTTCAGGCTGGCCTCGAACTCACAGCAATCCTCCTAACTCAGCCTCCCAAGTGCTGGGATTACAGGCATGGGCCACCATGCCAGGCTCTCATTTTTAAATATTTGCATTAATAAATTAACAGTGTCTAAACAAGCAGTTTTACAGACTGATAAACTTCTATCAGTCAAATTACCTTCATGTCCTTACTATTCCTTTTTATTTTTCCATTAACCCTCAAACCCTTATTTAATTGATATACAAGACTATTTCACAGACAAGAGAATATGCTAAATTCTAGCAGTATTTCATCCTCAGAATTATCCATATTTCTACCACATTTCTAAGTCAATTTATTCATCTCCTAAGGCATTATACAGCACTATTCCCTTCATGAACATCATCTCTGCTACATTTTAAAAGAAAGTTTCAGCGAGGCTGGGGATTTAGCTCAGTGGTGCCACACCTGCCTCACAAGCACAAGGTCGTGAGTTCAATCCCCAGTACACACACACACACACACACACACACACACACACACACAGTTGCAGAGTCTTACACCCTGAGAACCTCAACCTGGCAGGGGAGACACCATGACCATCCCGAGATCCCCTGAGCTAACTCAGGTTATGAGGCAGACACATAAACTCACAAGCACAAGGTCGTGAGTAATCAATCCCCAGTACACACACACACACACACACACACACACACACACACAGTTGCAGAGTCTTACACCCTGAGAACCTCAACCTGGCAGGGGAGACACCATGACCATCCCGAGATCCCCTGAGCTAACTCAGGTTATGAGGCAGACACATAAACTACTGTCACCTTGTTATGGCAACCTAGCAAGGGAAGAAACCTCACCTGAAGTGCACAGCCTCGAGTGACAGCTTCATCAGCATTTAACGTCGTACTGAGCTCTTTACCGAAGTATTTGCTAATCTTCTCTTTTACTGCAGGGATTCGTGTAGCACCACCAACTATCTCCACTGCATAAATATCTTCTTTCTTTAACTCTACGTTAAAACAATTAGACATTTAGATGAAAGGAATCTTTAAATCATTATAGATTGTTTTATAATGAAATAAAAGAGCAGTCAGATCTTACTCACAGACTTGTAACCAAACTCCCCCACTCCCTCACCCACCACCACACACACGCACACGGCAGGTACACAGCATCTGGAAATCAGTAGGTGTGAAGAGTGGTGTAGCAATAGTGGGATTTAGGTGACATGGGCCAGGCATACCCTACGTCCTGCAGGCCCTTAAATATCAACAGTACAATCATTCACATACGCTAGCTGTAAACGGCTTCAAAATATTAAGTCACCTGACCTGGCGCAAAAGAAAGAAGAGTATTCACAATCACATCTAGTGACACTAGCATAGCTTAGATTAAAAAACAGGTACAAAGACTGCATGACAGTACAGACCTATAATCCCAGCACTTGGGAGGCTGAGGCAGGAGGATCACCATGAGTTTGAGGCCAGCCTGGGCTACATAGTGACTTCAAGGCCAGCCTGAACTACATAGTGAGGCCATCTCAAAAAAACAAAAATAACAACACCTACACACACATGCACACACACACAAAACCACAGGTAAAGTAAGTCCCTGATTTATGAACGAGTTCAGGGAGAGTTTGTAAGTCAGATTCATTTCTTAGTTCGACAAAGTTGAGTCTTATACACCTTTGACACAAATATACAATGTAAAGCATAAAAACCAAACACACACACCAGAAGTACAGTAAGTCCGACTGTACTGTACTGCTACTGTATACTATCCCACTCTACAGTAATGCAAACAGCACAATTGCAACAGTGTCCAGCAAACACGTGAGCTACTTCCTTGATTTGTTCACATCTAGGATTCTTAACATGAGGTCCATCCCTATCTGTGAAAGTTTGCAATTCGATTGTGCGTAAGTCACGGACCTACTGTAGTCTCCTACTAGAACGTAAGAAGATACCATACACCAAGGCCCTGTAGCTCAGTGTCACCACTACCTGTGGTTTTCCTGATCATATTTTATCTAACACCCACTGACAATTTCTTGAGGAGGACTATTTTTAAAAACGGGCTGGTCCTAAGCTACACAGTGAGTTCAAGAGCAGCCTAGTGAACTACATAGCGAGACCCTGTCTCAAGGCAGGGGTGGCTGGAGCCAGGTGTAGTGGTATGCCTACAGTCCCAGCTACTCAGGAAGCTGAGGCGGGAGGAATTCCAGGCCAGCCTGCACAACATAATAAGACCCTTTCTCAAAAGCAAAACAAGGGGTGCGGGGGGTGGGAGGTATCAATCTGACTTAAGACCTAAGCCCATGCTGAGCTGACAGTGCATCTCAACATTGAAACAGTTAGCAACCAGCAGCACACGGTGTACTGCACAGAAAATACTGTCTCCAGGAAGACTTCAGAAAAGTGACGATATGTTCCTAAATAAACTGCCACCTTTCAGCACCCTGCCCAGTGAGGCGGTTCCCACCCTGCAGTAATCCCAGCTACTCAGGTGGTTGAGGCGGGAAGACTTCAAGTTCAAGGCAGCGTGGGCAATTTAGCAAGACCACGTCTCAAAATAAAAACTAAAAACGGCTGGGGATGTAGCTCAGCGGTACAGCACCCCTGGGTTTGAGCCCTAGTACTGCAACACAGCCTCCTCTTGCTGTATCTCTTTCCATTAACCAAGGATTCACTGACTGAAAAGCTTAGAAGACTATCCCATCAGCACTCCAAAAGCCAATTTTTAGTAAATTACTGAAAAGCTTATACCCACCTTTGAGTCTCAATTAGATGTCTAAGAGAAATTTTCTGAGATGTTTATCAAAGATTATTTTGGGGACAGAGGCATTCCAGAGGGAAAATAAAGATCAAAAGAAAATAAGGAGCTCAAGTAGTTCACAGCACAAGTATCTGTATGCTGCCTGGGAGGAAAAGAAGATGCTAATACTTTCCAAAAAGTCTGAGGTACACAGAGGACTCCTCACAGAAGTACTTACTGGCTTGCTCCAAAACGCTACGAAGTGGTGGCTCCACTCTAGCTAAGAGGTCATCACACATCGCCAGAAATTTGCCTCTGTTGGAAAACAACAGCAGTTAAATCACACCCCACTTCATGTGCAATAGATGACTACAATCAAAAACCAGGCAGGGCCAGGGATTTAGCTCAGTGGTTCCACCATCTGCCTCATAAGCACAAGGTCCCGAGTTCGATCCCCGGTACCAAAAAAAAAAAAAGAAAAAACATTAAAAATCGGGGCTAGAGGCTTGGCTCAGTGGTATGAGTGCTTGCTTAGCATATAAGGCCCTGGGTTTAATACCCAGCACATTAAAAAAAAAAAAAAAAAAGGAACAAAAGATTATAGGAAAATGGCAGCGGCAAATGTTTTCAACAGTTTCTTTTTAAAAAGCTTTACTTAGTTGGGATTTAGCTCAGTGGCACCGTGCCTGCCTTACAAGCAGAGGGTCCTGAGTTCGATCCTCAGTACCAAATAAAATAAAATAAAAAGTTTTACTGAAACATAATTCACATACTACAGAATTCACCTAAAGAGGGGACTGGGGATTTAGCTCAGTGGTTCCGCCGCCTGCCTTGCAAGTGCAAGGTCCCGAGTTCAATCCCCGGTACCAAAAAAAATTCACCTAAAGGGTTTAACTCAGTGATTTTCTTTTTAAGATACTAGAGATGGAGCCCAGAGCTTCACGCATGCTGGCAAGTGATACTTCTCATTTTTATTTTCAGACAGGGCCTTGCTATGCTGCCCAGGGTGATCTCCATCTCCCAATTCTCACATGTCAGCCTCTCAAGCTGCCACTTGGAACTCAGTGAGACCTGTGCGACTATCAGCATAATCGATTCAAATTATCACCCAAAAGATATTTTCATTACCCTGCAATGTTCTTTTCCACAACCCTTCACACAGGTCTAATAAACAACTCATATACTTTTTGTCTTGCTAGATTTGCCTATTCTAGATATCTCGTATAAATTGAGCTATACAATAACTGATCCTTTGAAACTGGCTTGTCATCACCATAATGTTTTCAAACTTCATCCACAACTAAGTATGTACTATGCACCATTTTCTTATAAACTGCCAAATGATTATCCATAAACTGCCAAATGATTATCCACGGTACGATAAAGCCGCATTTTGTTTACTAACCAACTGATGGACACTGGTGTTATTTTCATTTTTTTACCTATTACAAATGGTGCTGCAATGGATATTCACGTATGAGTTCCTGTGTGACACCACACACACACACACACACACACACACACACAAATGGCTGTCGGGCCTGTACTCGCACCACTCGGGAGAGGCTGAGAGAGGAGGATCGCTGCGAGTTGGAGGTCAGCCTGGGCTACAGAGTGAGTTCAAGGTCAGCCTGATAGCTGAGATCCTATCTCAAAAAGCACAAGTAGGGCCTGGGATTTAGCTCAGTGGTTCCGCCGCCTGCCTCTGCCTCACGAGCACAAGGTCCTGAGTTCAATCCCCAGTACCAAAAAAAATTTTAAAAGGCAGAAGTAAACCACGGACAGCCACAGTTTCTCCTTGCTATCTGCTCTGTAAAAGGCAACTGAAGAAAAAATGGCATACAATGTACCTGAAAACTCAAACCTAAGCAGGCCCGTGTGGAAACAGCAGGCAAAATCAGAAGGCATCTGCATACTCTAAAACAAGACCATAAAGAGTCCTTGGTAAGGGACACAGGGACAACAGCAAGATGGGCCCAATCTACAGTTCCCTTCAAGGGAAAAAGGAATATATTGAGGGAAAACTGCAACAAGAAAATCTAAAATGAGCAGGGCAACAGCAGTGAAGACAAAGGAAGACATGAGGGAGGGAAGGCAAATCTCGGAAAGTTAAAAAGCCACATACTTTTTTAAAAATTTCATAAGCTGGGTACATTGGTACATTCCTGTAATCCCAGTACTCTGGGAAGCTGAGGCAGGACTGCAAGTTTAAGCTCAACTTGGGCACCTTTGTGACTTAGCAAGATCTCGTCTCAAAATTTAAATAATAATAAAAGGGCCGGAGATGTAGCTCATGATGTAGGCCCTGGGTTCAGTTCCCAGTAACACACACATGCACCCATGCATGCACAAGATTCCATGAAAACAAGAGGATGGCCTGGAGCAGTAAAACAAGACAGGCCCTTACACTCCCTCCCAGAGGCTCAGGAATGCTTATTTCACCTAAAAATAAAGAGTAAGAGAACAAGCACATCCATAGGGACAGAAGGTGTATTAGTAGCTGCCTGTTTCAGAGGGAAACTGAGAGTGACTACAACAGGTCTTTTGTGGGGTGACAAAAACATTCCATAATTAGACGGTGGTCACTGTTGAACAACCTTATGAATATACTAAAAATGATTGAATTTTACACTTCAAAACAGTTTTAGGATCTGTGAACCCCATTCAGAATAAAAAATGGTACAGAAAATAATACATCAGGGTTAGAAAAGAATTAACAAGTTTTTAAAAAACAAATGTTAGAAGTGAAAACTAAGCAGAATGTATACAAGAACATGCCCACTAAATAACGCTATGAAGGACTGAAAAAGAAAACAGCCACAGAAGATGGACAAAGAAGACCCAACATAATTACACAAGTGTTCTCAAAGGAAACTAAAGCATGAAAACAACAAACAGAGGGCTGGGGATTTAGCTCAGTGGTTCTGCTGCCTGCCTCAAAAAGGTAAGGTCCCAAAGAAAAAGAAAAGAAAACAGAACAGACATCATAATTCAAGAACATTCAAATTTTAAAATGTGTAATGGTGTGAAACTACTACAAAGGCACGGTTTACCTGTGGAAAACTGGTCCAAAACAACCAACACCAAAACATACTACAGTAAAATTATTAGTCTTCCAAGGGGAGAAAAAAAAACCCCACCAAAAACACCTGAGTATCTAGGCAAAAGAGAACAAGTAATGAATAACAGAAAAGTAAGCTGTCACACTTCTGACAGCCAGACCACACAGCAAAAGAAAACAGACTACCACACTATTTAAGGCACTCAGGTGAGGAAACATGAGCTAAGAGTGTTCTGGCCAGTGAAGAGAACTGTAAGTGTAAACGTGGAGACAAACTATAAAGTGAAGGAACACCACCACATGTGCTGGTCTTCAGGAATCCATAGGAAGCCATAGGAATCTATGGCAGTTTGCTCCTTCGGAGGCTGAGGCAGAAGGATCATAAGCTGGAGGACAGCATGAACAACTTAGCAAAACCCTATGTCAAAATACACTTTTGCTTTTGGGGGGTTGTTATTTGAGACAGGGACTACTTGCTAAGTAGTCCAGACTGGCCTTGAACTCACTATATAGGTTCAGGCTGGCCTCAAACTTGGGGCGATCCTCCTGCCTCAGCCTCACAAGTGCTGGGATTTTAGGTACGCACCACCATGCCAGACTTTTAAGTAGTAAATTTCATGGTGTGTGAGTTTTACCTCAATTTCTTTAAAAATGAAAAAGTTAGATGAAACATTATAATGTCACAAATAATCTGGTGTCGTTAATCTTAAAATATAAAGACTACTGGGTTAATGACTAAATAAAGGCTATGAAATAGAGCATATACCCAGGCGCAATGGCACACACCTATAATCCCAGCACTTTGGGAAGCTGAGGCAGGCGGGTCACAAGTTCAAATTCTGCCTGCATAACTCAGCAAGACCTTATCTCAAAAAATAAAAGGGACTGAGGACTAGCTTGGGACTAGCTCTATGACTCTCGAGAGGGAAGAAGGAAAGAAGGGAAAGATGGAGGGAGGGAAAGGAGGAAAGAGAGAAAGGAGGAGTAGAGAGAGACAGAAATGAAAAAGAGAGTAACGGATCTATGTTCTCACAGTGCCAACACAGTGTCATCTGTTTTTAAAAACCAGCACATAGGCAAACCAGTTTCTACTTAAAGGGTATTGATACGGAAGAGTTTTAGATAACTTAATAGACTGAATATTGAGGTAGTTGTAGAAGCAAAATAAGTAATGTGTTCTTTTAAGATTCGCTTTTCCTTGCTTAAGGTGAGGATTATCTGACGCTAACCTGTAACTTCATTAACCTAACAAAGTTACCATGCTAGGGTGAATTTACAATGTAATATGGCCTATCTTGCATCTGTGACTTGTAAATAGGAACTGGAATTGTATTTACACATAGAGACCACTAGGGATGAGATAATGGCTAAAAAGGATATAAAAAGGGAAACGCTGAACAAAGAGGGTGCGGATACTGGCCAGACTGGTTTCTGGCAGTCCCGCCCGCTAGTGAGAAGAAATTTTATTATTTTATCCGAATTCCGTGTCTCTGTGTTATTTCTTTCCAAGATTTCTGCAACAGTATCACTTGGCCCTGTAAACATGTAACATCTCCCTAACAACTTCTGAAACACACTGGCTTAGCCACTGTCTCTAGAAAACATATGTGCACACACACAAAAACCGCTGCTCGATAAAAATGAAAGCTATTACTTTCATGTAAGAGAAAGGACAAGTAAAAATTTGGATACTAGGCAACAGTAAACGCTGTCTCCATTTTCTAAGGATCACTGAGACAGCTTTCTCTAAACAAGCTAATGCTCTTGTCTAAAATCTATCAGCAGAGTGCTCGCTTCAGCAGCACGTATACTAAAATCTATCAGCAGAGCTCACAGCTAAAAGAATAACTCACTCCTATCATCAAAGCGACACAACCAGGCAACAGTAACACTGAGGTTTTCTTTCTGAGAATAGCCCTAAAGGTCAGTTGTGCACAATTCTTGCAGTGTTGCACAAAAACACCTGTTGCTATCAAGTGATACCGAACCACTGAAAAAGAACAATTTCTTAATCAATGGCTAAATTAAATTCAACCTAATTCTGCATTAAGCTCTTTGCCCTCGTTTTATGAAAACTGATAACTCACATATGTTTAATGTATGTATATGAGTCAGAACTACTAACTTCGTAGAGTATTTACTCAAAACAAAAACATTAGCCTCCACTAATAATCCAACCCAACCTTAACATAGTTAAAAACTAAGTCCCAAATGGCCTAGATCTTTTAACCATAGAACTGAAGTTATCTTTTCTTTTCTTTTTTTTTTTCGGTACCAGGGATCGAACTCAGGACCTTGCACTTGCGAGGGAGGCACAGTGCCACTGAGCTCAATTCCCGGCCCTGAAGTTATCATATTAACAATCATAATTTTAACAATTAAATAAGGTTAGTAAGTTTTTTAAAAATCACGATTCAGTTTAACATCAAAATAGGAATACTGTTACCTATTCATAGTTCCAGATACATCAACATCATTCATAAAACATTCAATGCTCAAAGGGAGGTCTGAAGCATTTGCACTCATCAGTTTCTTGAGTTTCTCACACTCTTGAGATAGTCGTAATAGTGCACGGATTTTAGACTTTATGTCTAGCTTGTATTTCTTCCCAAATTCTTCACAGAAGTGATTTACTAACACCTCATCAAATTTTCTGCCTCCCAGTGTTGTGTCAAATGCTGTAGCCAAAACCTTAGAAAAAAAAAAGATAATTAATCCAACAATTAACCATTAATTCTAAAATCTATCACGATACATATATAGATTATTCAGAAAAAAAGCAAGTGTGCATTTCAAGGTTGAAACAAGGCAACAAGCATGTGTCATTTAATCCCTGGTAAACCTATCCTGAAAAACAGACACTGCAAATCCCTCCTTTACAGATTACGCTGCAGATCTAGACAGGTGACACACCCGCAGGCCATAAAGCGACTAAAGTTGTGGGGGTAGAATTTAAAACCAAAACTTGATCTCAAAATCCATGCCTTCTCCACTCTGCTGATCCGACCCTCACAGAAATTATACATCCCGGGACAGAGCCCGGATGCCACACACAGTTCTAGTCTTACCGCTATCACAAAGCTGTGAGTAATGTGAACCGCTACCCTAAGCAGTGTACTACCAGAAAGATACTGAAGCCCTGGCGACAATTCGGTCTCTATTTCGCACAAGTCCAATAAGCTTATTAGTTTCTAAAATCTGTAGCAGATTAGATGCAAATTAGATCTAATTAAATTCAATAAAAGGGTAAATAAGTAGTAACTAAAAACAATCTCTTCAAAGAATCCAAAATGCCCTTAAGGAATTTAATATATTAACTGGAAAAACATAGGACAAAGAACTGAATACAACAATGATTTCAATTTTGCTTCTATTAAAAAATTAGGGGCCGGGGATTTAGCTCAGTGGTGCCACTGCCTGCCTCCCAAGTGCAAGGTCCTGAGTTTGGTCCCCTGTACCAAGAAAAAAAATTAGAACAAGCCAGGCAAGGTGGTATACACCTGTAATCCCATCTAGTCAGGGGGCTGAGGCCCAGGCAGGAGAACCACAAATTCAGCCCAACTCAGGCAACTTAGTGAGACCCTGTCTCAAAATGAAAAACAAAAAGGACTGGCAATGTAGCTCAGTGCAAAGGCCCTAGCTTCAATCCCCAGTACCACCAAAAAAAAAAAAAGAGGGGAAGGAGAGAGAAGTGGAGAGGTGAAAGGAGAGGGGAGAGGCAGGAGGAATACACCGAACTGTTAAGAGCATTAAGATTATGAATAACACCTTTTCTTTACACATAAATATTCTCCAAGTTTGGGGAATTTTTTAAAATAATGAGTATTTTTATAGTTAAATTTAAAAGCAATCAAAAGATTTGTAAACTGACAGGTAAAACCCAGCAGTGAAAGACAATTTAGAAACTAAACACAGATGATCACTGACACTTATCATTCTGATCCAAAACTGGGCTAAATTACAGCCAGAATCTTCTGTTTAAAAGGGTGAAAATATAAAATGGATTTTAGAAATACTTTTATTATAGTTTAAATACTGAGAAATAGCCATCATCTATAGCTGTAAACATCAAAAACTTCTCATTTCTTAACCAAGATTTGCTTCTGCTTTAAAAAGACCTAAAACAGGCCAGAGATTTAGCTCACTGGTTCCGCCACCTGCTTTGCAAGCACAAGGTCCCAAGTTCGACACTTGGAACAAAAAAACAAAAAAGACCTAAACAATGTAAACCAGAATATAAAGTGGAGCCAAGTCTATTTTTCAAAGAAAGCAGGACTACTCAACAAAGAGTCTCAAAACTACCAAATACTTACTTGGCACTAGTCCCTCTCCCTACCAGTCCCAAATTTTGGGAGAGGAGCCAATTTAGACCTTGGTACCAAGAACTCTGATACACAACTCAACTAAAGCAAACATTAGATAAAAGCATCTTAGTCAGATGGAGGACTGATCTTATCCTTTACTGTGGAACTACCATAAACCAGCAAAATCAACTGAGACTATGTTTAACCACTGAGCTACTTCCCTGGCCCAGACTCGGGTAACTGTAGAGCTTTTTCCTGAAGGTCTGTTTACTGCACACCATGCCATGTCTTTTCCTCCCTCCTCACTACTGACAATGGAACCCTGGGACTCACACGGTAGGTAAACCCGTTAACACTGAGCTACATCCCCAACTCTTTGTTTTATTTTTTGAGACAACTTTTCACTACATTGCCCAGGCTGGCCTCAAACTTGTGATCCTCCTGCATCACCCTGGGCAGTACAGTGGCTGGAAATATAATCATGCTCCATCCCACCTGGGACTATGACAATGCTTGATGAATTATTTTGGACCTACAATCGTCATTCTCCTCTACAATAATTAGTTTCTACTTCAGACGGCTCAAAGCAAGCTTCCATTAGTAACACAAAACTTGTTAACCACTTGTCTTTCAAAAATGTGTAATTACCACACTTATAATAATCTTAAGGAAAAAAACTATACTTACTTTCAGTTTTCCTCTATTAAATGCACATACAGAAACTTGATAAGCAGAATGCCCCATGTCTACAAAAACTACATTTCTTGGTTTCTCTTCTAAGGCAGGAAGATCTTGTTTATAAATTCCATATGCAAGAGCAACTATACAAAAAAAAAAAACCACAATGGTAGCATCTAGGTAATAAATAGAATTTATTTAAGTAGAAAAAACAAGTTTTACATATAGGAATGGGATTGCATCATGTATTATACCTTAAATAGAATAAAATTCTTTATAAGCATTGCATAATTTATTCATGAGGAACATTAACTTCAGAGAGTTAAAAGCTGACAATTTCCCATGAATTATGACAATTGTCCAGACATTCCTTCCTCCATTTCTTTCTCTCTTTTTTTAGTACCAGGGATCAAACTCAGGACCTTGCGCTTGTGAGGCAGGCGCAGTGCCAGTGTGCTATATCCCTGGCCCCTTCCTTCCATTTCTTAAACACTTGTGCCTTGTTACATTCCTACGTGCTCACCAGGGATTTAGCTCAGTGGTTCTGCCGCCTGCCCCGCAAGCACAAGGTCCCAAGTTGAATCCCTGGTATCAAAAATAAAAAAATTTTTACAAGTTTCTCCACTACATTCCTACATACTCAAGCCCTGAGATGCTTGGTACTTTACCCCCCTATTCCTGATTATACCAGTCCACAAGTCAGATAGAAAACCTTGAAATTAAAGCACTGCCACACATACAGTAACTGTGCTCCTTTTCAAACAATACCAAAGTGTATACTGCAAGCGTACAGAAGAAGTACTGCTGACATTAATTCTTCATATATGACACAGTATCCAAACACACTATGACAAACAGGTTGTAAACAAGAATGGCAGCCCTCCAAGCAAAATAAAGAGCAAGGAATCCTGGTTTTAAGACCCTACAACTTTCAACACTAATCAAAGGAGCAAAAACATGTAGTCTCATCTTACCTGCAGTAGTTTCATTCATCAATCGCAGGCAATTGAGACCAGCAATCTGTGTTGCATCCATCACTGATCGTCTTTCTGCATCAGTATAGAAACAAGGAACCTACAAAAAAATTTGCAAATTTATTACATGATGAACATTTCATGAGTAAAATCCTGGACCACCGTCGAATACCTTCAGCAATTTATTCTATGTATGATCAAGAAAGTATTTCAAACCATTAGAAAAAGTTACAATATTCAACAAGAGTATTGGGACAAATGTATAGTCATATACTGCATTACGTTATACATTACATAGCAGATGACAATTACAAGACCTGAAGTTTTTTTAGTATGAAGGCCAGAGAATGCTGTCCTTACAAAGGTCTGCCTGCAAAATTTACCCTTGCATGGCACTGAAGAACTCCACTGGCAGTGTAAATACCGAATAGTTTCACTAGTGTGAGAAACTGATAATGTAAACAAGAGTTAAAATGATTAAAATGAATAATTGATAATTTGAAATAGGAAAAAAGGTCCAAAGACGAAGGAGTGAAGGGAGGGGAAGGGGGAAGGAAAAGAGGAAAAGGAAAAACTATGAGAAAAGAAAAAAAAATGGAAATGAAATCTATGTAAATAGGGAAGGGTGGAAGGGGTGAAGGCCACACAGGTCATGGGGAAAAAAATAAGAACCAAGATACATCATGTACAGGTACAAACACCCAATGAGAAATGTAAACGAATTGTATACCTAAAGTGTACCAATAAAATGTACCCATAAAATTAATTTTTTTTAACAAAAGAACTCCACTGGCATCTAGGAACTTATTAATAAAGAGTTCCCCCTAAGTTAACTTAAAAAAACAAGAAATCCAGACCAGGGATTTAGCTCAGTGGTTCCACGGCCTGCCTCGGAAGCGCCAAGTCCTGAGTTTGATCCCCAGTACCAAAAAAAAAAAGAAAAGAAATCCCTAACTGGTTAAGAGTGGCTCACTTGGCCTAAAATGTGACACAATCAATGTAGCTTATGCTGACAACCTGATCTTCTGGGACTCTAGAAGCTTGGTCCATGCTGGGTACAGGGCATCTATGTGCCTGAATCCTAGAAAAAAAACCCTAGGCTTCTCCACTCAGACCAAATTTTCCTGGTAGAGGATACTTCATGTTAGCCCACCTTGCTGCTGGAGGGAGGAGTAAGCACATTGGGCCTGACTCTTGAAAGCCTGTGCCTCATTTCCTCCAGAAGCTGTGTCATGGTACCTTTTCCTTGTTGATTTTGCCTTGTATCCTTTCACTGTATAAAGCTTACTCCAAGAGTCCAGCTATATGCTCAACCTTCCTAGCAAATCACTAAAGCTCTAGTGGGGTCTTAAGGACCTCCACACAGAATTTTTTTAACTGGAAAGTCACTCAGGCACTCCACTATTTCACATTAAGTTTTACTTCCAACATCATTCAGATGAGATCAGGTGCATTCAGGGTGGTGTGGCCAAAGACAACGTCAGCATCATTCAGAATCGAAGTTAAAGGCATGAGATGAAGAAATGGGAACAAATCTGGGGACCAATGCAAAGGTGTGGCACATGTGAGAAACACAGTACATCAGCCGCTGAGAAACCCAAGTCATCAACTCGGCGCTGTTGGCGTAGCATTTTTATTCTTCTTTCCATCCCCAAAACATGGTACATAGCTATGATCCAATTACTCCCAACAATTCTACATTACGAGATAACCAAGGAATTACCAGGCTCTGAGAAGGAAAAGCAACCTTACAGTGCTTGCTTTGCCAATCAACAAACTAACATTAAAACAACAGCAGGGCTTGGGGATTTAGCTCAGTGGTTCCACCCTGAGCCTGCCTCCCAAGCTCAAGGACCCGAGTTCAATCCCCGTACCACGAAAAACAACAACAACCACAAAAATTATGAAGCTAAACTACCAGGTAACAATGGCAGGAGGAGGAGGAGATTCAGTGGCAAAGCCAATAGCTACTAGAGACTCCACCATATTATAAGCATGCATGTGGTGATCAAAATACAGAGTTAATGCTTCATTTTTTTTTTTTTTTGGTACCAGGGATCAAACTCGGGTCTTCGCACTTGTGAGGCAAGTGGCAGGACCACTAAGCCAAATCCCCGGCCCCCTATTTTTTGGTACTGGGGATCGAACTCGGGTCCTTGTGCTTGCACAGCAGGCAGCAAAACCACTGAGCTAAAAGACCCATTGCCATTAATTCCCCTCCAAATCCTCCCCTTCACTTTGAGCACACTTAGCCCATCATTCTTACCACTTTCTGAAGCAGCTCTGGGACATCTTTCATGCCTTTCCAAGGTGCAACTGAAACTATGGGAAATGCTGTCACGCTATGCGACCACAGGCTGTGTGGAGGATGAAAAGATCACCCGGAGATGACTTACTTCAGTCACTGACAGGCCCAGAGGGGCTGTTTCTCCACCAAGAGCACCCAGCCATCAGGAGACTCTGGGAGAAGAAAAAGCCACCAAGTGGAGAACTCCCTGGCTTGTATTTACGATATCAGTCTAAGGGGGGAAAGCAGTTTGGGCCAAGAGCTATCTCAAGGCTGGGAAATGGGGGGGGGAGACACAACATACTTTATTAATCTGAACTTCCGGTTGTTCATTCAATTCTCACACAGCTTGTGTGATTTTACCCCATAGTTTATGCCCCAGAATTTAATTATTTGTTCTCACAGAGCCTATGTGCCTTTTGCCTCGCAGTTGGTGCGCTTTTGCCCCACAGTTTAACCACTCAATCCTCACAGAGCATATGCACTTTTGTCCCACAGTTTAATCATTCATTCCTGGCCAGATTCCCCACAAAATGCTGCTACCAAGGGCCAGCTAACAAAAGGCACTTATAAAACATTATAGTGAGTCCTCATCTACCTTGTTCATCAGATCTGGCACCACATGACTTCTGGCTCTTCCCCAAAGTCAAAATGACCATGGAAGATTTTAATTCATTCAGGGTACAGAGCATGCGACGGCAAATAAAGACACTCAAGAAACAAACAAACAAGAATGACTGGATAAGTGTGTTCAGAACAACCGGTAGTATTTTGAGGGCAATTAATTACTATGATAAATGATTTTTATTTCAACATTCGCTGTATTGCTCGATCACACCTTTTAACAAAGCTACATTTAGCCAGGCTTCCACCCAAACGGGAATACAGAAGAGATGAGGCTAGGTCTCCTGCTCTTGGTACAGACAGCAAACAGAAATGGAGAAAAGACAGCCATTTATACTTGGGAACATTCAACTGATACAAACAAGTAGCTGCCCTATGCCAGGTACGGCTAAGTACTAAAGCAAATCAAGAAGGGGTGGGATTGGAGAGAAGCCATGACACACAGACAAGGCTTACACAGGCCCAATCTACACTGGAGGTAACTGTTACATCCGGAGACAAAACAAAACCAAATTCATTTGTTTTTATTTTTTTGTTTTGTTTTTTGAGACAGGGCCTGAGTATGTAGCCCAGGCTGGCCTCAAATTTGAGGTGGTCCTCCTGCCTCAGCCTGCCAGGTGCTGTAATTACAGGAGGGCACACCACCACACCCTCCTGCAAGATGGAAACAATTTGATTTGCAATCAGAAGTTTCTTTTCTGTGCTTCTTGATCAAAGTTCCTAAGTCAAATAGGATCAAACTCACCGAAACCACACAGTCAACAACAGGCTTCTTAAGAACACTTTCTGCTGTCTCTTTTAATTTGGACAGAAGCATGGCAGTCACTTGCTCAGTGGTAAAATTCCGCTCTTCTTCCATATATGTCACCTGCAAGGAAACAAAACAAGCCACAGTACGCTTCATCATATCCTAGTCTTCTAACAGCCTAAAATGAACAGCCAGGAGCGATGGCACAGGCCTATAAGCCCAGCACTCTGGGAGGCAGAGGGAGAATGAAAACTTTCACCATCACCCTCCTAAAAAGAGAAAACAAAATGGGGGCGGGCGGATTTGGCTCCATGGTGCCACAACTGCCTCGCAAACGCAAGGTCCCAAGTTCAATCCCTGGTACCAAAAAAAAAAAAAAAAAAATTTTTAAAATACAATCTTTGAGCCCAACCTTGGCAACTTAGCAAGGCCCTGTCTCAATATAAAAAATACAAAGAGCACTGGGGATGAAGCTTAATACAAAGGCCCTGGGTTCAATCCCTAGTACCACAAAAAACCAAAAAAAGTTTCTAGATAAAGCCCTACCCTGGATGAAAGTCTGCAATCTCGGTAAGAGTTGCAAACTTTAAATGTTGAATGGCGGCCCATGATAATCCCTTCCTTCTTGGCCACCCTACCCAGTCACTAAGCAAAGAGAAAAAGGCTCTCTTTTGGCTGCTGTCCCAACTCGGCTTATTCTCTTCACTCGCCAGCTCAATCCTAACTGATCATAGGTTAGAATCTAAGTTTCTTTTATTTTTTATTTTTGAGACAGGGTCTCAACTACGTAGTTCAGACTGGGGAGCAATCCTACTGCCTCAGCCTCTGCAGTGCTAGGATTACAGGCATGCACCACCATACCCTGCCAAGAATCTAACACTTTCTAACTTTACTACATGATAAACATGGGGAAGTAGGCCTTGTTGCTAAGCCCCTTCTAAACTGTCCTCTTTGTGCCCTGCTTCGTGTCTAACTTTGGCCAATTTTTCTCCCATACTTGGACCTAGTGGGTCCCTACATCATCTTAGTAGTATCTCTCCTCTGACTTCTTGTGACACTTAGGACGAAATCCTTTGCCCTCTTAAGACTCCAGCTTTATCCCTCTCTGTGCCATTCTGTTCTGAGATCACTGCCACAGATACCCTAACTAAATAAACACAGTGACCGTTCTTATCAGAATCTTCCCCCTCTTAAATCTGACTGAATTTCCAGCTACACTGGCACAACTACCTTGTCCTCCCAGGTCTCACCATTTCTTGGCTTCTGAGCCAATTCTTAGGGTTCATATTTCTCCACCTGGGATGTCAACACCAAACCTCTCTAAACTCATTTGCCTGGAAAGCTCCTCCATGCTCCTGGATTCATCTCGCTACCTCTGAGTGCGAGAGGCAGAGGTGCCTGCCCCTCATCTCTTCTGCTATCTGTTTATTACTGGCACACAGAGACTTCTCTGGATGCCCCAGAGATAAAGACCTGACCTCTCTTCCCCAGAAAAGAGATCTTTTTTTCAAACCTAAGTCCTGCTACAAAGTATATTAGCCCCCCATCTGCCTAATGACTTGTAAGTGTTTTGCCTATTCTTCTGCAAGTCATTCCTCAAAATAACATTAAAAAGACCACTGCCTCAGCGAATCACACAAATGTAAAGTGGCATCACTCTCTAGGCCTGTAACACTTAATATTAGCATCAACACCCAATGACTTCCACCGAGATCCAGATCTCTCAGAAACCGTCAAATGCTCTTTACCAGCAAAAGCTCTCCTCAAATGTGCCGGGGTACAGCTCAGGATGGAGTGTTTGCCTAACACCCCCAGGACTTAGGCTCACAGAATTAAGATGTGTTTGAACACAGATCAACTCTCCAGAAAGAACCCAATCATTACTACAAACACGGACCTTGAAAAAGCTAGTGCTTATTCTACGTATTTTTAAATAGCAGCAAACTTTACAGATTCTTGCAGGAATTTTTTTATAGAGTTGATGATTAATGGAAACATTCTTAAATGATAAAGCTTCTCTCAGTTTTGGCTGTTAGTGAATAAAATCTGTATTTTCAAGATTTAAAATTAAAGAAAAACAGGGACTTGGGTTCAATCCCCAATACCATAAAAACAAAAATAGTTTTCCTAAGTATTAACGTTACAACTTCCATCAGAAAGGTACTGACACTTCGGTAGCAGTATTCACATCGCCATTTCCTACTGTATCAATGGTATCAGTGATTTTTGGTTTTCCATCAGTTGTAACCTGTATCCCTGGGGCCCCGGGGTCGATCCCGGTGTCCAGGACAGGGACGAGCACTGCCCCGCCCGTCACACTCCAGGTAGCGGCAGAGGAACGAGCTGGCCCCAGTCTTTCTTGGGCAGCAGATCATGGAAAGGGAAGGGCTCCTCGGGTGCGGCGGTGGCCATGGACACGGGGTGGAGGACGGACCAGGAAGAGGCAAACCACAAATTACAAGAAAAGGAAAAAATGGAAAAAAAGTCTTCGTAAATAGGGAAAGGTGGAAGGGGTGAAGGGAGGGCAGAGGAAGGCGGAAAAAATAAGAACCAAGACACACCATGTACAGGTACAAGCACCCAATGATAAATGTAACTGTACTGTACACCTAAAACATACCGATGAAAGAATTTAAGGGAAAAAAAAAAAGGTACCGATACTGTACTAACAAGCTGATAAAATGCTGCTTTTCACTCATAAGGGATTATCTTGAGAATCTTACCTTTATGCCTGTTAATCCAGTAGGCAACTGCACAATATCATAGGCAAGGCTAGATTTTTCTGCCTCCACAAATGGGTCAGAGAATGCTCGTCCATGAAATCTTTTAAATGCCTGGACTGTGTTCTTTGCATTGGAAATCACCTAAGAGAAGGAAGAATAGAGTGGAAAGACTACTGTTACAGTGGCCTCAGGTTAAGTGAGCATCGTTTTAGCTTCAGAAAATTTCTCCTTGGTTTGTTCATTCGGACACAGCCTTTTGCAGGGTCCTCACTTGCATGTGGCCTGAGGGACAAGGGACCGGCTAGGCCTCTCGATGGCAGGCAAGACCAGAGCCCAGCTCCTCCTCCACGAGGCCAGGTAATTACACTAACAAAGATTATTTTCTGTTCTTAAATTGCTAATGAATATTTACATAAAATAACTATTAACTTTTTTAAATGCCCATAATTTATGGTTCAAATTCTCCAGGAACAAATTCAGCAATACAGTATCAGTTTAGAAGTTCTAGTTAAAGAAATTCTAAAAGAAAAATGATCACATGAGTAGACAAATATGAAAGCAAAGCAAAGGATTATTGGGATAGCAGTGTTCATAAGTGCAGAACACTGGAAACAGCTGGATGTCTCTGTAATAGGAAAATGGTGAAATAAGTAATGATACGCTCATATAATAAAAAAAGCATAATGGGGGGAGGGGGCTTGGGGGGAGAAATGTGGTAACATAAAATAAAATTTATTTTTTTAAAAAATATCGAAAGGGGCCGGGGATTTAGCTCAGTGGTTCCACCACCTGCCTCGCAAGCACAAGGTCCCAAGTTCGATCCTCAGTACCAAAAAGAAAAAAAAAAATACCATAACACAAGGAAGACTTTTTAGATGAAAAGACAAGTATTTACACAGTATAACCTTACTTTCTTACACAGGAGAAACTGGACTTAGCCAGGCACAATGGAATAAGCCCGTAATCCCATCTACTCAGGGAGGACAATCACGAATTCAAGGCCCACCAGGCATGGTGGAGCACACCTGCAATCCCAGCACTCAGCAGGCTGAGGCAGAAGGATCATCATGCCGGCCTGGGCTACAGGAGTTCAAGCTCAACTTGAATTACAGAGCAAGACTCTATCTCAAAAAAAAAAAATTCAAGGACCCCCTACACAACTTAGCAAGACCCTGTCTCAAAACAAAAAGGGCTGATGATGTAGCTCAGTGGTAGAGCCCTTGCCTAGCATGTGTAAGGCCCTGGGTTCAATTCCGAGCTACACACACACACACACACACACACACACACACACACACACACACACAAAGATACCAAGGGCCTAGGTTGTAGCCCATAGTTCAGGGTACAGTGCACACTTAGCATACATCTCTGGGTTCAATCCCCAGCACAGAAAGGAAAAAAAAAATATGAACACTGATTTCTGCATAATGGTTAAAACGTGACTTCCAAATTTCTTATACTTTTACATCTACATTTTCTAATTCCTCTAAAGTAAACTATAACTTATGGGACAAAGGCAGGCGTGGTGGCACATGTCTATAATTCCAGCACTCAGGAGGCTGAGGCAGGAGGACAGCTGAGAGTTCAAGACCAGCCTGGACTACATGAAAAAAAGAAAAAAAAAAAAACTTACAGGAGAAAAATACCGGCAGACATTTAAAATATTCCAGAAGGATTATGTGATTAAGGCTCTCTGGCTCCTCCTCCCAATACAGAGGTAAGAAGCCCTCGGAGGAGAGGCTACAGGCTCATCAGCATCAGCTGTGTCTAAAGGCAGAGGAGGCCTCCCAAACAGGCCCCACTTGAGCAGGCTGCCAAGGAGAAACTCTGTACACAATGAGCACATCAACCCAGCATTGGGCATCCAGCGTAGCACAGTACCTGCTCTCAATAACAAAAGCAAGTTTAAAAACAGGACGGGAATTTTAGAAGGAAACACATTTGAAAATAGCCTAAAATTTGTCATCTACTGCCTCCTGAGATAACTTGAACTTTCTGCAAATAAAACTATAAAACAATTTAATTAAAAACCAACTGACCAAGCACAATTTTCTTAGGCTCATAAATTGTAGTCCCTGAAGAAAAGTTTGGGGGGGAGGGGGGTCACTATGTAGTTCAACCCAGCCTTGAACTATGTAGCCCAGGCTGGCCTTGAACTCAAGGAGATCCTCCTGCCTCTGCCTCCCAAGTGCTGGGATTAAAGGCATGCACCATCACGGCCAACAAAGCATTACTCATTCTGAATGTTGCTCCAGATTGAACAATAAAAAGATCAACAGGCAAGTACTTAATTTTACAGATAAACTTCCAGGATAATGGAATTCTTGGGGGGTTGCTGCTCTGGCTACTTAGAAACCAGCAGATACATCAGGCTCCTGGTTTACAAAGAAAACTAGAGATACATCCTTTAATATGTCTCTGGAGGTATTATCTTCTTTCCTTCAGAAACTTCATTAACAAGATCAACAGGGCTGGGGATTTACCTCAGTGGTTCTGCCGCCTGACTCGCAAGTGCAAGGACCTGAGTTTGATCCCCCGGTACCAAAAATATAAATAAATTAAATAAAATAAAATATCAAGATCAAACAAGCCTTGCTTAAATAAGATCTGGGCAAAAATACATGGTAACAGTTTGCAATAAGCATATTGTACTGATATTGCTACTATTGAGCTGTTCGTTTCTCACTCAAATATGTAAGAGGAATCAGGTCTGCCACTGTCAGCTGTACACCTAGGGTCTGTCAGGGACAACCAAGAGAAATAAGTGATTTAAAAAAAAAAAATTCTACCTGGCTTTTAGCTGCTGCTCCAATTGAACGATTCTTAGGACCAAAAGAAATGCAAGCCCTAGAAGATAAAAACAAACATTTAAGAATCAAACTTTATTGCAGTATAACATTCAAAACCACAGCAAGATTTCTGAATCTCCGCTAAAAAGTCATATGCTTTAACAGTACATAATACATAATATGTCCACGATTTGAACCTTTCTGTTGAATACAACTGTCCATGGAATGGATTGCCTCTGAGAGCTGTTACTGAAAGCTGGAGTACAAGTCTGATGGACTAACCACCTGTCCAGAATACTAGAGAGGCAGACAAGCCAATCTTTACCTCCTAATTCTTCAATTTCAAACTCTCACATCAATATATCAACTAAATACTGTTCTTGTTTTGAAGATAGTTCACAACTTCACCAAGAATATAATCTACAAATGCTAAAAAGGCTTGCCCTACTGCGTAGTAAGTAAATGACAGTTTCTCCAGAGCTAACTTCCAAGGACTCAGAATTACTGAAAAAAAACTTTATTCTCACTTAACTTTCTTCTAAATCACCAATTCATACACTGGTTTGATCTATTTACTGATTCTTTTAGAAGCAAAACTAAAATCCACTTGAAGTTGTAAAAAAAAAAAAAGGTGTACAACCTTTAAAAGCCAGCTGTATTGAAGTTGACACTTTGCTATTCTAGCTTCTGTTTTTCATTCTCCCTCCAAAACCATGCCCTGTACACTATTTACTCGAGTCACTTCCTTTTCCAGTAAGCTGCCTTCCCTCACCTAAAATACGATCAAACTCCCACTTTTTTTTTTTTTTTTTTTTGGTTTTTGAAACAGGATCTCGCTATGTAGCTCAAACTAGCCTTGAACTCACAATGTAGCCCAGGCTGGCCTCCAACTCCTGGCGATCCTAGCTCAGCCTCCCAAGTACTGTGATTATAGGCTTACGCACACCCAGCTTCAATTCATCTACTTCACCAAAAAAATTCTAAACCACAAAACTCTTTTGATTCAACTTCCTTGTTAAGTCAACAAGCTTTTCTCTCCTCCATACTTTAGTAATGACCATATTCACTGCTTCCGTGTACTGTCTGTTTAATCCTCAGAAGTGCACTATCTTATTCCCATTTTACAGGGGAAAACCAAGTTGAAAAACAGCTTTAACAATTAAGGTCATGTAACCTGAAAACAACAGAGAAAGAACTGTAGATAATGTCTCCACACACTCCAGCTTTGACCCTCTCTATCCTCCCAGAACCCCTACTTCTTCCAACCTCAGAAACTGAAAAAGGGGCTGGATGGAGCTGGTGCCGTGCTGCATGCCTAGGCACTCAAAATCCAAGGCACTCAAAATGCTGGGGCAGGAGGACGCCAAGCTCAAGGCCAGCATGGGAACCTCAGCAAGTGCTCAGCACCCATGTGTGTCTTCCTGGTATTGTTTTGGACGGGGCAGATATAGAACACTTCCATCACCACGGAATACTCTACTGGATAAAGCATCCTCTGGAATAATGTTCCCCAACGACACTGCTCTAGACCGAACCCATGGTGCGTGTACTCTGCCGGCACTCAAGCCAGGTTGCCCAGCATCGCCTCAGCACAGAGCTAGGGACAGCGGCACACACCCCTGGCTGGCACCTTGCGTGAGGTAAGTGGGTTTTGGGTTGCAGTTTGGGTTCTCATCTCTAAAAGGTTCACCTTCACAATTCTAGACAATATCCTCCAAGTCAATGAGTATTTTTACTTTTAAAGTCTACACCTGCCTTCTTCACACTTTCCATGATCTTGAAAACGCAAATAAATCCCTCGGTTCAAATTATTCAACCTCCTTTTTTCTGGCCTAAGCATAGACATTGCAAATAGTTCCCAACTTCTTAAAAGCAATCAAATGTCACTAATGGAGCCTCAGTCTTTGCCACGTAATACAGGAATTAAACCTCCAACAAGTCCTAAATCCTCCAGTGGGAAAATATAACCTTCCTTACCGTACTATACAATCATCAATTATAGTATATTTTATCATAAATATATCACTACCAATTTTTACATTGTTTTGTTTTCTTACGTTCTAAAAAAAAATCCTGTAGTAATAAACCAACTACTGTACTAAAAAAAGAAATCCAAAGCTCTTCTACCTTGGCATCAACTTGGTAGATCAATAAAGAGCTGGAATGAGAGTGTGAGCCACCTTTCTAGCTGTGCAGCTCCTGGTGTTTCATCTGAGACTCCATTTGCTCATCTCTAAAATGGGGGAGATCAGCCCCTATCTTACAGGACTGCCGTAGATTAAATGCAACAAGACACTTTTATAGGGTTTATATCAGAGACTGGCATATCATAAATAATATTAGCTATTACAGCTCCAAGAAAGCCAAAGAGTGGGTTTCACACAAAAACAGACCAACTAGAACTAGATTGCTCTGAAAATTGTTTCACCTTTTCAACCTGTCCACTGAAATCTAGCCAGCCATTTTTACAATCATCTATTCATTGGGACTTTAAAAAAAAAATCCTAATTTCATTAAAAAACGAAAATGAGGGCTGGGGATTTAGCTCAGTGGCACCGGATCTGCCTCACAGCGCAAGGTCCTGAGTTCAATCCCCAATACAAAAAAAAAAAAGAAAAGCAAATGAGGGCAACCCATTCAGGACCCCTCCTGTCTCTCAGGAGCTATTCCTATTCCCCATTCCTATTCCCGGATCAGTACCAGTACGATCAATTCCCTGAGTTTTTAATATGTAAAACAACACCAAGTTAAGTGTTTTGAAACTAAAAGCTTACACAAAGACACCCAGTAGTTAAATAAGTAGAAAGCCTAAAAAGATTAACTTGAGTATTAGGGCCAGAACTCAAACTTAGTTCAATGTTTCCATGTTAAGGGAGTGGAGCCCCGGGGCACAAACCAAAAGAAGAAAACAGAGATGATATCAAGGCAAAAAAAAAAAAAAAGAGAGATGATCTTAAATTCCACAACCCTCACCACTGTACATGGCCAACTATTAGCATGCAGGTAAATAGTCCTCTGCGATCCAAGTAAATCCAGTCCTTAAATGTCCTTCAAAAAACAGGGCCGGGGATTTAGCTCAGTGGTTCCACCACCTGCCTCACAAGCGGATAAACCCAAGTTTGATCCCTGGTACCAAAAAAAAAAAAAAAAAAAAAGCCCTTCAAAAAACAAAGTGAAATGCCACAATACCCTGCTTAGTTTGCTTCTCCTCAGCAAGTCCTGAGGATTTTGACATGAACAAGCATGACAAAAATAGGTAAAGAAAACCTATACTCTACTATCCCTCAGCAAGAATTCTCAAAACTTGCACCCAGCCTGCATCCGAACACTGTCACAAAAAGCCTCTTTCATCCCAGCAGGCTAAGCTCCCTTGTCTGATGTATTTCATTACTGTCTCCTTAACCCAGGCAGTGTGCTAAGGTCTTACACCTGATACTTCCTAACATTCTGAGAAAAGAACTATTATTAACTCACTTTACAGACAAAGAAGCAATCCAAGGTAATGTACCCAGAGACATAATTAGTGAAGTCCAGGATTCAAACTCCAGGCTATCAGACTTCAAACCCATACATACAAGTGCTTTTACTGCCTGCCAGCCCCTGCTGAATCCTTCTCTACTCCTTACTTTCACTCAGACTATCCCAATCTTCGCCATCGTAACTTTTTTTTTGGTACCGGGCATCGAACTCAGGACCTTGCACTTGCTAGGCAGGCGCAGCACCACTAAGCTACATCTACCCCCATTCCCCTTTTTTGGTCTTTTGAGACAGGATCTTGCTATGTACTGCAGGCTGGCCTTGAGCTCAGTGCTGGGTTACAGGTGTGTGCCACCACACTCAGCTCCACCGTGTATTTTGACCCCAACTGCTCAAATCCCATTCTGCCTTTCCTGTCACTCCAGCCCCCACTGACATAGCTTTCCTCTGAACAAGTATTTTAAATCTGTGCTGTAAACTCGTACTTATGCTATTCACTGTTGCTTTATGTCATTCATATTTCCTGCTAGATCAGTTATACCTCCAAAGAGCAGGAATCTCATACTTCCTGTCTACTTCACACAATGCCAAGTGAATGCTGTACAAACCCAAAGAGTAATCATACTGTTGCTGTCTGACATTACTTTTCCTTCATTTCAAATTACGCTGACTTGCCAGCCATGGTGCCCCATGCCTGTAATTCCAGCACCTGAGAGGCTGAGGCAGGAAGATTGGTACAAGTTCGAGGCCAGCCTGGGGTACCTAGTGAGTTTAAGGCCAGTTTGAACTACACAGCAAGACCCTGTGTCAAAAAAAAAAAAAAATTACATTAACTTCAATTATTAACTTGAATTCCTGACATACAGGAAGTTAATTCAAATTTAAGTTCTAGATCCCTCTATTCTAAACTTTGAGTCCTAGAAACAGCACATTTGTTCAGTCCTGTAACTTGTTCCCTCCTGGATAAGAGATACTACTGACCAAATATTCGTGCACATTCTGATATTACTACGAAAAACTACAGTGCCCCCCCCCAAAAAAAACCCCACAGTCCCACAGATCCTTAAAAGGTAGTTTTAAACGTGTGCAGAGCCACTCTCAGGCTATCAGGAGAGCCATTAATCTCACAATAATCTCTCAGATAAGAGCTGGGGCAAAATTGACATGGAAATGGATACTACCTCACTCAGTATTGTCTGTTTACTAAAGCTCTGCTACAAAGTAACAAAATTTAATACCAAACCCACCAAGCTACTCATACTTTTGAGGTCTACACTTCCTAAAATGCACCAAATCCTTAATCAATAAGCTTTGCGTATTAAAAGGCGCACAGCTTACAAGCTGAAAGGCAAACTTCCAGGTTTTACTTTAGTATCCTAACATCTAACCCAGTAATAAAGAGCATTAATAAAAAATACAAGAACTAACTGCAATACCAGAAAACTTTGGCATTGTGCATTATATGCCAGGCATTATTCTAAGCACTTCAAGAAAAAGACCAGAGTTATATACAGTTTCAATTCATAACCCTCATAACTTTAGTGACATAGAGAAATCACGTATGTTCCTAACACAAATTAA